GAACAAGTGCCATCATGATTCCTTAAAGGTTCCTTGATTTTATCACAATATACCCCCCCAAACTCTCTTCACTATTCTCATGATTAAGGCCCATATTTGATATGACTTGCTTCAAGAATCAGTGGTCAAGGCAGCGGCTTCGAGATGTCCTGGGGCTGAAGAGTCCCTAAAGCCTATGAACCCCAAACCGGGTCAGCTTCAGGGTCGAGAGTTCCAGGACTCCAGGACAATAGTTTTCGGGTTTAGGGTTTTGGGTTTTTGTAGCTTTAGTGCTTGGATGGGGCGTTGCGCAATTAGGGTCATAGCAAAGGTATTCATAAACCATCCCGACGTAAATCTCGAGGGCAAGCATGCGTGTATGCATGCATACATGCGTTCATGGATGGATGGATGGATGGATGGATGGATGGATGGATGGATGGATGGATGCATGGATCTAACTAATTAGGCATCTATGCATGTATATATTTATTTGTGGATCATACATACACATGTACAGAACTGTTCAGAGCTCATGTTTGCCTAGGCCTCTCCTCAGTACCCTCCAAGACAAATCCTACCTCTTTAAGGACTTATATAAGGACATCACCAAAGGACCCTGCAAAATCCTGACTCTTTACGGACTTGTATATAAGGACATCATAAAATGCACCCGACAACGGTAGGTTTTTTTTCAGGGTTGGGGTCGACATTGATGTTTTCCGGTGGATCGGCCGGGTTGCTCGCAGTGAACCAGACGCAACAGCCTCGAAGCCCGAAACCCGAACAAAAAACAAGCTAGGGTTTAGGGTTTAGGGTTTAGGGTAGTTTCGGGCGAGAGAAGCCTGCTGCAAAAAAGGGTTTAGGGTAGCAGTGCACCAGAACCACAAGTTGAGGCTTAGAGGGCATGTGCACTGCAGCCCCGAAACCCTAAAACTCCCTCCTCAAAATGGCTTATAGGGGCTTAGAAACTATGCCCTTGGCGCCCGAAGCCTTAACTTTGGGTACGCATGTGTGTATATGTACACGTGTGTATATGAATGTGTATATATATATATATACATATACATATACAGACGCTTTCTGTATATACATATATATATATATACATATTATGTGTGTAGCTATAGGTTATAATACACCTCAAAGTGCAACTAACAAGTTTAAATGAGCGCCCCGATACTTCCCGGAGAGGCAAGCTGGTGAAGGACTCCCTTCTACCGCACCATTGCCGCACTCGTTTACAATCTGCCGAAGCCTCAGCTACCCAGTACGACATACAGCTGCACGCATGCTGACAAGTCTATAGCCCTGAGCCCCTAAAGCCCTGAACCCGGACGCACCCATGCACAACCTTCTGGCCGCCTAACGACCCCACTACGCCCTCAACCCGAAACCTGATGGCATAATTCATCCTAGCTAAAGTCGAAGTCCTATCGCCTCAAGTCACCTCACCAGCATGCCACCTAAACCCTAAGCCTAAACCCTAAACCCTCACCCCTAAACCCCTAAACCCTAAACCCTAAACCAGCAGGCCTCGAAGCCTGAAGCCATCGGAGCCCAGACATTCCTCAACTCTGAGCAACCCTATACCCCTGGCGGCTCCCAGTCATTACGAGACTTCTATGAAGCTTTCAGTGTCAAAGGACCACAAACCCCAAGCCCTATAAACCCTAAACCTCTACTACACCCCTAAACCCTGGACCGTACCCTATTAAGGTCAAAAGTCCATAAGCCCCAAGCCCTAAACCTCAAGCCTCTACACCCCGAAACCAAACCCTAAACCTCCACACCCCTAAACCCTAAACCGTACCCTAAACTCAATAAACCCACCCGAAATGCGCACCGAAGTGGCGCCGCAGCCGCGAGGTCGGTCGACGGGTTCGCTGACAAGCTCGAACCCCTCCTTCTACATGAGCAGCCTGGCTGACTTTGGGTGTTTAGGGCCTTTTAGGGTTTATAGGATTTATAGGGTTTAGGGTTTGGCTTGGGAGTTTTTGTGGGTTGAGAGAGTTTGAATATGAGGATTTGGGGTTCAGATGTGCAGCTTGGGCCACTTTCCCACAGGGCCCTAGGCACCTCTACAAGAGATACTTGCCCAAACCATCATAGTGATTTCTAGCATGGAAATCCTGCGTTCTGTACGTAGGCGCTTAGGACCCTCTTGGTCTGGATGTTTGGCTTCAGGGCTTTCTGCGGGTTCAGAGAGTTTGAAGATGAGGATTCCGAGTTGAGGGCTCGGTGTTTGGAGTTTGGGCCTCCAGGTTTGGGTTTAGGGTTTAGGGTTTAGGGTTTTGGGAAAACACGGCGAGGATAAGGCGACTTAAACTTAGGCCCAGATGAATCGGCTGTATACGGCTCTTTGTAATGTGTGCAAGGCACCCGAAGCCCCATAAACCCTGAACCCCTAGTGATACAAAGGCCTCGTAACGGGAGTGCAAGTTCAGGTTGGTCAGCGGATATGGTGAGCTGCACCGGAGAACAGCTGCAGCCATGCACCTCGAACTCCGGACTCTACTTTCGAAGCCCTATCCGAAAAAAACCTACGTCATCCTCTTTCCCCCAACCCGCGAAGTCGTTCTGTCAATGCCAGGTGCGATGGGGGGAGGGGGTTTCAACCAAGCAGCTGTGCCGGCTGCCACCTACATTGTCACGACCTGAGCATGGGATATGTTCCAGTTCAGGCTGCTGGAGTTCGTAGGGTTTAGGGTTTAAGGTAGCTGGTGATCAGAGCCAGGGTTCAAAAACAGGTTTAGGGTTTAGGGTTTCGTAGGGTTTGGGGCTGCAAGGTTAGTTGAATTTTAGGGTTTAGGGCCAGGGTTGCAGATCTCACCGTCTAGCGTGTAGCTACTGACACCTTTGTGAGGGTGAAGCAGCACTTAGTCAAATCCCAAGCGGGTGATGGGGATTGGCTCTTTCTTTCGTCTGTGCAAGCCCATTTCTTGGCCCAAGCTCCAAACTAATACCAAGCCGAAGATTCTGATTAATTCGTTTGCGAGGGCTCTGTTCCCTTTTTAAGGAACCCATGAAGGATGCCTCTACACAGCACTCTGACTTGCAGGCCGACCTTAGACCCCGACATCTTTACAAGACCAAAGTAGCCCATAGAGCTGCAGGGTTCCCTTAAGGCCCTAAACCCTACACCCTAAACCCTAAACCCTAAACCCAAATCGTTTCGGCTTTGGGGTTCGGGGGTTTCTTTAAGGGGTCCATGATCAGGTTTCGGTTTTAGGGTTTGGGGGTTCCGTTAAGGGGTCCATAACAAGGGTTCTATCTGAGGGAACTTTCGGGTTGTAGGGTTTTCCGGTTTTAGGGCTTTGTTGGGGGGGGGGGTCAGGGTTTGGGGGTTTAGGGCTTTGAGGGTTTCGGGGATTTGAGTTTAGGGGTCGTTACCAACACTGTAGTTTTTCCTGTAGAATAGCCTAAACCCCTCTTCGAATTCATAAGGATCCCCTGTTACATACTTAAAGCCTATATACCCAACCTGAGGATCCCCCTGAACCCTAATGTCGGAAGGTCTGCACCGTGTAATTGCGACGATTATACCTGTAGTCTCCACTGTAGTTCCTTTTTGGGGTTACCTTTTAGGATCCTAAATATAGAATAAACCAAAAAAGGGAACTAGAACTAGAATGGAGCCTATACGTAAATTACACTTGTGTAAGGTTTTGGGCCTGCAGGAAGAGCGTAGACATTTTAGGCCTTATTATACAAGTACATGGGGTTTAGGGTATAAATTTCCGAGATGATTCCCTAAGCCCTGCTCCCCAAACTCCCTAAGGCCGAAACCCTCAAGTCCCCCACACCCTCAATCCTAGACCCTACCTATAGTCTCCATTGTAGTTCCTTTTTGGGGATACCTTATAAAATCCTTAATACATCATTGGTTACAGCAAAAAAAAGGAACTACAATGGAGACTATAGGTAGGCCCTACCCATAGGCCCCATAGTAGTTCCTTTTTGGGATGACCTTATAGGTATCTAAAGATGAACCCCAAAAAAGGAACTACTATGGGGCTTATGGGTCGAACCAAAGCCAGAGAAGCCGACACCTCCACCCCGCGAGATGCCCGGAACTTGGGGATCCGCTGAGGTGGACTTGGCAGACCCTGTGGTGTGGACCTCGTGGTTTCGTTGAGCTTCTTGTGTTCTTGGTGGTGTCTGAGGTCTAGAAACTATGGACATCTATCAATCTTTGAGGTCTAGAAACTATAGACATCCACCAATCTTTGAGGTCTAGAAACTATAGACATCTATCAAGTACCTTTAACTTTAAACCAGGTGTAATTAGAAGTGGCCAAGACTAAGGAACAGACAAAAGATCTCAACGAAGCCGTAAACCCTCAACCCCTAAAGCCGGACCTTAAACCTGGAACCCTCAACCTGTGCACCCTGCATTGCGGGCTTCGTCCTAGCTAGGTGGGAGGCAAAAAAACCCTCAACCCCTCCGACAGCCCCAAACCCTCGATCGCATGACCCCAATAGACCTAGAACCCTATTCCCTGTAAAACCCAGATCCCAGAAGCAATGTGAAAGCAAAGCAGACCCCAGCATGTCTGATTTTCAGGGGTCGGAATAACTAGTAAGATATTTTCCCCTCATATATCGTCCCCCCTGAACCTTAAAACCGAAGCCGTCTGGCCAATCCAACCCCAAGCGACTGAAGCTTTGAGGCCTCACAGCCTCTAATCCTACGGCATCGCTCCTCAACCCTAAGCAAACTGAAAAACTTCCGTATCGCAGAGTAGAGTAGAGTGTCTGTCAGAATAGCATAGGGTAGACTAGATGTAGCATAGGATGTAGAATACAGTAGGTGGTATGTAGTAGATCGTAGAAAGAATATTACAGGGGACACACAACATGTCGTATTCGGTATATCCATACATCGTATATAGTGTACCATAACTACAGCCAGTATATAGCAGGATGTGGTAAATAGTATAAACAAGAACTGAGTAAGGAACGATTGAAAAGTACTAAACAAGTGCAACGAGGATCAGCTGTTGGGCAATGCCCTTCGCATGTTGGACGTGGCTGCGGCGTCCAAGCTCACGTGCCGAGCTTAGACAGCGCGGGCTAGATGTTGGGTGATTCGGGTGTCGCTTTAAAAGGGGCCCTAACCCGCAAACTCCACCCTCCAAAAGGTAACTGGCTAAATACGAGGTCCTTGGAAGATTAGGGATGCATCCATTGTTCCATGCTCGAGCACCTGCAGACCTCGAACCCTAGCATACCCCATGCAGGCACGCAAACCGCCAAACCCCACCTAGATGAAGAAATCTTAGGGTCTTGATGGTCGGAACAGGGTTCCTTGAAAGTCGTCTGTAGAGATTACTAAAGGGGGTTTTGGGGTTTTGTTCCAACCCGGGTGAGGACGAAGGTCTGCAGACAATCGCGCAACAAGAGAGCTAGCTACGCAGGTAGGTGGCGAGCAGGTGGTAGGTAGATGGATCGACAGGTAGGCTGGTAGATAGGTGGGTAGATGGACAGATATATAGACAGATAGTGGCTTCACGTTGTGCCTTGTCGTACCGATCCCCTTATTTTCGATCCAGCTCTCAAAGTTATAGGGTTTGGGGGTCCGTGTGCGTAGCTTGACCTCATGGATCCCGTAGCACAATTTATTGGAATTGGCAGATTGCTGACATGACATGATATACCCTTGACGAATTGGAGCCCTCGTTCAGATGATCTGCAGAAATGAGAGCCAGCAATGTTGCAACTGCAGGGTCTGGGGCATAGGATTGGGCTAGGTTACCCTAAGGGTCCATGTACCCAAATAGTATGTACTTTGGCCTTAATGTAGTCCCTATATAGGTACTTTAGGGCCAATGTTTTACTATTTGGGTACATGGACCCTAAGGGTTATGTAGGGCCTGCGAATTGGGGCCGCCTCGGGGTGGTTACTCGGGTTGACGCTGCACCCGCAAGTATTGCACACTTCGACCCAAAGCCCTTGTACAGGTTGCGCCGCCTCTCTCCGGGCCGCTATGAGATCGACGGGCGACGGGTGACACTCCGCCGGGGGCTTCTGTTTTTTTGATCATGGGCTCAGCTCTTTACATCAAAGCCAGAAGCTGAAGGGCCCCCTCAGCACCCAAAACTTCCTCAAAACCGCAGCTTCAAGCCGAGGCTGGGCAGTTATAGGTTGAGAGCTTACATTTGTAAGCATGAGAGTGACAGGGAATTTGCTTCAGGGAGCGAGCCGCAGAGGTCTTCGATTCCTTCTGCCTTTCTCTGCCTGTGAGTCCGGTAAGTGCATTGGGCTCATTAACTTAGCTGCTCTTTGGCTCCTCTTCCCTTGGAAAGCTGCAAGTTCTCAGAGTTTACCTCGTTTGTCATGCACGTTCAAAGGCACCGGTCAGCCGGCTTGCAGAACTCGGTTTTGCCATACGCCTAGCTGACAACCCAATGCCTTGCCTGAGGCATCATGAGTAAGCACAAGTAGGTTGAGCTGTGAGCTGCTGTGGCAGTAGTCCCTGTACATAAGTTGGTCCCACGTTTGTTCTATAGCTGTGTTTCCCCCTCAGCTCATGTCCGGCATCAGTTCGATCATCGGATTTTGAAACCCGAATCAAACCCCGAAGCGACTATGAAGCCTCAGCGTCTTGTGAGTTTAGGCCTTTCACGTATTTACGCGCGAGAAGTCAAGCTCAACCCCCCCCGCTCCTCCCAGCCCCCTCAAACTCCTCAATCTATATACATCCCGATGGGACCCCTAGCATAGACCCAAGGTAGGAGCATCCAGACCTCCAGATAGTGTATCATATCCCAACTTGAAGAAGCCGCTTAAGCAGGCTATTGATAGAAACATGGCAGCGAGGTTGGGAGCAGGGCGGCACAGGACTTGTTGTTATCGAAGATGAGGCCTCGGATTGGTTGGCGTAAATTACACAAGTCGTGATTTAGGTGCAAAAAGATCTGCCCGGAAACGAAAGGCAAGAAGGTTCAGGGTCATTGCCGTTGCTTTGCGGTGTTTCGCGCAGTCTTTCGGACGATTGGTGAGGGCAATAACAGTGGGAGATGGGTTGTGGGGACAAAGTTTCACAGGCAAACGAACGGTTTTGGTGCGTTTCTACAGCCTGAGACTCTGAGCCCAAAGCCCGAATTTTGTAAACCCCTCGCCAGGCTTGTCCAAGTTGTGAGTGCTGAACTATTATTATTGTAAACCCTAAACATCACAGACCCTAAATTTATCGCAACCCCTAAATTCTAAATATTATAGACCCTAAACCTTAAGCCTTGAAGCCGGAAACCTGGGCACCAAGGCACGGGATCCTGGCTTCAGGAAACCTCCTGATTCAGCGTGTGCTTCTTTAGGTGTGATCCGGATGGCAACTTAGAAATACCCGGCCCAAAGCCTGGTTATGTTATGGTAGTGTTTTGAACAATATGTACAAACGTTCAGTCCCAATCCTCTGCAATTGATAAGACCTGACGCATATTCTGCAAAGCTTACTCCAGCTTCCGTGGCGCTGTTCGCGCAGGTCTTGGATGCACGGGGCTCCGCGATGCCGCCACCTGACAAGCAAACCGCCAAACCTCCCGCAGGATTCCAAAGAGTAGCACAGCTTCGATCAAGGCTTAAGTTCCCGAAGCCCACGTGGCTTACTATGTAAGGCGACAGCACATGGTTCAGTGTAAGGCCATGATGGTAATCCATTCTTTACTTAAGTGCTTATACGGCCTGAGGTGCAATCAGCTTGGGAATCTGCAGCCTGATGTGGAACCCTAAACCTGAAGCCATCTTGACCCCAATACGAAGCCAGACCTCCGAAAAGAGTAGCCAAAGACATCCCGAAGCCCTGAAGCCCGGTAAACCCAATGACCTGAATCCCAAGCCTCCTCAGAAACCTGAACTCCATGGTGGTGCTTAGTGGTCGTCGTAGAAGTTTCGGGTAGCTGCCGTCGTCGGTGTCGTGGTCTATAGGAAGAAGATAAAGAAAGTAGTAGGAGTAGCATGCGGCAGCTGCACGCTGCAGTGGCAGTCCCGCTGCACCTTCTGCACTGCGGATTGACAGACGTGAAGGGTCCATATACCCAAATAGCATATACTCTGGCCTTAAAGCAGTCTCTATAGGTACTTTGGGCCCAAAGAATCTTCCTGTTCGGGCGCACAGGGACCCTTAGAGTGGGAGGCGCAGACAGGTTCGAGTTCCGGCAGTCTCCGGAGCGGCTTTTGGCGAACTTTTTCCTACCAAAACTCACTTGTTGCAGGTTCTTTTTCTTACACCCTAACAGGGAATTCATAGGGACCCCAGGAAAGAAGGTGACTTCTCTGCAACGCGAGTTGCTGCTCGGGGCTTTGGGATGCAGGGGTTTGTAGGGTTTAGGGACCCCAGGCTTGTGGCTTATTTGAAGTCCGCTGGCAACGTGGCTGCCTCGCTGAGTGGCCAGCGCGCCACGAAGCTGCATTTTCATGCCTCTGTGGCGCCACGAGCCATCTAAACCGTGGGATGAGAAGGGTTTGGTGTCCTCTGCCCTATTTTCCCCAAGTGTAGGCGTCGGACACTTCAGATGAGCTTTAAGCATTGGTTTCAACGGTCTGAGCTGACCAAAGCTTTCGAGTTGGCTCTGATCCGTCTAATCCGAGATATCGGTGAGTTGCAGCGCTTCAAGATGCTGTAAGGGTGCTGTGCTGGTGTCTAGGGAGTCAATGGTGTGAGGCCACACAATCAGTTCCATGCCCGAAGGTTGATGTCGCTTCAATGACACACTGTTGTCGGCACAATGCAAGGTACCTCCCCCCCCATCAGTCTATCTACGTTTCTATTATTTAAAGTCGATTCAAGCTCCACGCTTTGCAGCTCCAAATCATGGCTCTAGACTTGTCTATGGAGCTGAAAACATGGGCCTTTAGCGGTGGCCTTGTTCTCGTTGCTTTTGCTAATCTTGTGCCTGCTCCCATTATTCGGAGCTTCGCAACATGTTCCTCAGGCTCTTGCCAGTGCTGCAAGACGCAAAACCCTCCTTTGAATCCTTGTACGGTTGGAGTCCCTCAATCTTAGAACGCATGTAGGCCTTGCAGCCTTACGCTTCCCAACCCAAACTGCAAAAAAACAATCAACTCTAAGCCCGAATAGTCTAAGTAAGCTCTAAATTCGTCAGCTCCAAATTCCAAAAGCTCAACCTATATGAACCCGACGCCTAAATCCCCAACCTAAACTCACACCAAGGCCGATATGCCAAAGATCGCACGGGTGCCAAAGGCCCAGCGTCTGACCTTTGACGACGATGCACCTGCCGACGCCTCATGCATCGAGCCGAAGGGAGTGCAGGGGTTTAGGGGTTTAAGGGTTTAAGGGTTTAGGGGTTTAAGGGTTTAGGGTTGAAGGGTTTAGGGTTTAAGGGTTTTGGGTTTAAGGGTTTAGGGTTTAAGGGTTTAGGGTTTAAGAGTTTAGGGGTTTAGGGTTTAGGGTTTAAAGGTTTTGGGTTTAGATTTTAGGATTTAGGGGTCGGGTTTAGGGTTTAGGGCCTAAGGTTTGGGCTAATGTTCAGGACCACGGTTCTTAGTTACGGCAGTATAACAGTGTGGTGCAGAAGACAGGGCCAAGGGTCAGCGCATCAGGTTTGCAGTGCAGCATTAGGGTTTAGGGTTTAGGATTTAGGGTTTAGGGTTCAGCGTGGCGCGGCAATATGGCCCGGAGTTGGCAGTTTGGAAAAATGGTGAGTTCAGGGTCCATAAACCCCAAAAGCCCTAAACCGCCAATTCCTGAACACAAATGGCTGGAGCTTAGGGCTCACGGCGTGGGATGCTTGAATTTGGCGCAGAGCTCGGGCTAGGATGTCGGCTTGGGGTTCGCAACACGGAATGTATGGCGCAGGGTGAATGTTTAGGAGTTTACACATATAGGCTCCATAGTAGTTCCTTTTTGTGGCCTATATTTAGGATCCTATTAGGTAATCCCCAACAGGGACTAATATGAGGCCTAGGGGTTTGTGTTGCTGCCACACGTCTCAAGAGTTCAGGGCCTTCGAGTTTCAGTCTTCTGACTGGTTTGGGGTTTAGGGTTTTAGGGTTTAGGGTTTAAGGTTTAGGGTTTATGGGTTTAGGGGTTTAGGGTTTAGGGTTTAAGGTTTAGGGTTCATGGGTTTAGGGGTTTAGGGTTCAGGGTTTATGGGTTTAGGGTCTGACTGTTCTGCGAGGACTTCTCCATGCCCAAGCAGGTTCGGCTCCTGGACAAACACAGCTCAACCTCCGTCAAAGCCAAAGCAGTGCCTTTTTCACCCTCAGCCCTCGGCACTGCAACATGAAATTTGGGTGTAGGACCCTAAACGCCCGAAACCCCAAACCCTGAGCCTGAAGCACCGAAGCGAGAGCTTCGAAAGACTCGAAGAGCAAAGTCGAAAAGCAAGGCAGAGCAAAATCTGGCGTCGCAGATCGAGAAGCTGGGAAGTGAGATGCCAGACTGCAAGACAAGTTTGTGGGGTTGACAGATGTGTCGTTTAGGAGTCCAAATTTCCAGTAGACTCCCTAATAGAGCCCTCTAAACCCTAAGCGACTTCCATGTACCTATATAAGAGGCCCTGTTGGTTCCCACTTTCGCTGCCCAGAGGTCCTGCGGACGGTTTGTGGCAGTCAAAGTCTTTCTGGATCTTGGGGTGTCGAGATTTCGTTCCGGGTTAGCGGTTTTGGGTTTTGGGAATTTGGGTTTTAGTTAGGCTTCAGGACTCGGTTCAGGGTTGAGAGATCAGGATGTTCAGCTTCGGGCTTCGATGCCAAAGTGGGTTAGGGCTGCATTGCTCCTAACCCCTAAACCCTAAACCCTAAACCCCACTGCTTGCACATCTTTGAGGTCATTCTCCACTGCAGTCTCCTCGCAACTTCTTTCACCTTGCCACCATCACAGAGCGTCACAAACCGGAGCTCGTAAAGCCCTGAAATATAATGAACTGCAAGTTCGCTGTAGGAGGCTAATATAGGGACCTTGATAATCAAAATAGGGTTTGGGGGTATAGTATACTCTAAGTATAATAAGGACCCCCCAAAACCCTATTCTGGTTATTAAGGCTCCTACATTACTTTGCAGTGCTGATTTTTGCTGCATGCCTTCATCTGCGGGCACTGCAGTCAGACCCTGCTATACGTGACCCGAGTGTTAACTTCAATTACCTACTCCTTGACTAAGCCCACAAGCGTCACACAGACGGAGAATGTTTGCATTGACCCATCGCAACCTACAAAACCTCGATGACACCCGAACAAAACTCTTATACAGCCTTGTCTCAAACTGATCTTTGTTTTGAGAACCTCCCTGTATTGAAAGCACTTTCCGAGGCGATGCGAGTCCATGCGTCCTGAGCCGAGCTATGCTTCCATGACCAGAGATGAGGGGGACAAGTTAGGGCTACCGTTGGTGGAATCTTAGGGCTTATAGGGTTTTTGGACGAAGCTTGTTGAGGACCCTAAACCCTAAACCCTAAACCTAGAGGGAAATGAGGGGTGGAGGGTTCTGGGGCGACGCCTAGGGGCTTTTGACCGGCTTCCCGAGCTGCGCTAAGTGCAAAGATGTCCCGAAACGCGGGCAACATTAGGCCTGTTGCAGATACAGATACGGTTGTCTTTCGTGCACCTGTCGACTTTGCAAGGAATCCCTTGGCGTTCCAATCTCTGAACCTTAGGTTTGGGTCCTGGTTCAAAAAGGGTTTAGGCAAGTGGGAAGCCCCGAACCCAAAGACCCTACACCCTAAACATCCGGAATCCCCAAACCTCAATCCCTGTAAGCCCCAGAAGGCAGACCGAAGTCCTTCTGAGCGAACCCCAATCTCACTGACCGTCATGACTCCCCTACAGTTCATACATATACATACATATAAGTCGCGTCCAGGAGGGGGCTGGCATGATCCAGCTTTGTTGACACACATTTTTCAAGAAGCTTTTGAAGAGATGCGGACATCTTGTCTACGCAGCATTTCCGGGCGGGTGAAATGTTAAGTGCCGCAGGGTTCTTCGCCTCTTGGTCCAGGCACAAAACCCCCTAAAGCGAAGCCCCTGAAGTCTCAAACTGATACGAATGCTGTTTTGGGGGCTCCTTACTATGATCATAGTATAATGGGCCCCAAAATCCGAAACCCTAAACCCTAAACCATGTTAGTATACTGGGCCCCAAAACCCTGTTCTATTCTAAACTTCGACAATTCTCAACCCGAGGTCTGGCGGTGGAGCAAGCGAGACTTCGGGAGGAGGCGGCAGAGAAGTACGAGCTGCCGCCCGAGGGAAGGGCGGTTTACAGGCTTACAGGGTTTAGGGGTTCATAGGGTTTAGGGGTTTAGGGTTTAGGGTTTAGTGGAGCTTGTGGTCTTAGGGTAAGTACGGTTTAGGTTTTAGGCATGCGGGGTTTGGATCTGTAGAGCTTCAAGGTTTCCAGGATTTGGGTAGTTGGGCTTCGGGGCAGTTTTTTGACGGGGCAGCTGCTGTGGATCGAGGCGTTGGAGCGTGTGGCCGGATGGGTTTTTGACTTCGGGCTTCGTATTTCGGTCTTTAATTTAGGTCAGCAAGCGCTCTACTTAATGGCATGATCATGGTCTGTGGTCCTCTAAGCCTCTAGCCGTGCGGCGCCACTTGCATAGTGAAACGAGAGTTGGTCCCGCACATACAGACCTCTAGGAACTTCCTCCTGCGCACCGGGCAACCAGACCACATTTCAGCTGTTCAAAGCCTAACCTATTCCCTGGAGCCCCGAACTCCTAAACCCTAAATCGCCGGAGCCCCGAACTCCTTGATCCCTGATTCCCTGGAGCCCCGAACTCCTAAATCCTTAAATATCTGGAACCCCGTAATCCCTAATCCCCAATCCTGCTGGAATGGCCATTTCTCGCCGCATCGCTTTGCTCTCAGCCGTGCTCCCTGTCGCCCAGCGCGCGGCACGAGGCTAACGAGAGGCTTTTAGAAGCACCCCTCGGTGCCTAATGATGCGCGACTGGGCTACGGATCAGGGTTCAGGCTCTAGCCCTAAGGGTCCATGTACCCATATAGTATATACATGGGCCTCAAAGTACCTATATAGGGACTACTTTAAGGCCAAAGTATATACTATTTGGGTACATGGACCCTTAGGGTAGGGCATTTTCTCCAACGCGCGTATGGGTTCGGCCTTGCTGTCTTTTTCATCCTGAGATTTATGCCAAAGGACATTGGCAGGATTTATGTTACTGGGTCGTTAACGGGTTTAGGGGCTAGGGGTTAGGGGTTAGGGTTTTCGGTTTAGGGTTTCAAAGATTGTCAGAGTTCCTCATGCTGAGAGCACTCTATATAGGCCCTTCACCCTGCATCCCAAACACGAAATTGTCAAACCCTCTCCCTTAGGGTCAGAAAACTTTCTGCTACCTTTGCAGATCCCACGAACGAACCCGATCATAACTAGTAACTACCTATGAGAGCCCATAAGCCCAGAAGAGTTGCCCCAGGTGACATCGTCTTTCTGCTCTCGTGACCTGGAAGCTAATGCGAAGCATGGAGCGAAGGCTCTCCAGGGACTGTTTCGGGCTTTCGCACTTGAGGATGCAGGGTTCAAGGTTTGATTAGGGTCTGCCCGTAGGCCCCATAGTAGTTCCTTTTTGTGGCTTATATTTAGGATCCTAGTAGGTAATCCCAAAAAAGGAACTACTATGGGGCCTATGGCTAGGAGTCCATCGTTCCCAGGTCGAGAGTTTAGGAGCCACCTAATGAGCGTGAATGGTATTTGCAAAAAGCCTCCTCGACTGAAGAACTGCGGTGATCAGTATGGAGAAGACGAAGCCGCCATCCCCAAACCCTAGCGCTGGCCGCACCCAGCTATCCCTAAACCCAAACCCTAAACCCCCCAAACCCTAAACCCTAAAGTCGGAACTTCGGGTTGCATCGGCTTGGTGATGTAGGACGCACGCGTCTGATCTTGGAGATATAGTTACAACCCCGTTCCAATGACTGTAGCGCCCCTGTGTTATGTGGAAACCCTACAAAGCCCGTATAAACCCTTGGAAGACCCTATGGTACTGATGATGATGAAGCCCCTAAGAAACATCTCCTACAACCCTTGAATCCTGTATAAACCCAAACCCGAAACCCCAAAGCACTGGAGGCGTAAGGTACGTTTATGCCACAAGCCCTATGGATCCCTTAAAGGAACCCTATACCTCAAGCCCTTGTAGGCCCCTTTAAGGAACCCTATGGCCTAAACCCTTTTGGACCCCTTAAAGGAACCCTAAACTCTTATGGGGGTTTCAGAAAATAGGGGACCCTAATATAGCACCCTAAATAGTAGGATCCCCATTATAAGGACCACAAAATAAGGACCTCCTATTGTCGGAAACTCCCTTATGGAACCCTAAACCTGATCATCAGGTCCCTTCTGTCTGTCTCAGAGCCAAGGTTCGTCGTGGGCGCTCTCGCCAGCGGCACCTGTGATGTTGCTGTCGCTCGGGATCAGTTACCTTTTCGGGTTCAGGGTTGAGGGCTCAAGTTTAGGGTTTACCTATAGTCTCCATTGATGTTCCTTTTATGGGATACCTTATAGAATCCTTAATATATAATTGGTTAAACCCCAAAAAAGAAACCACAATGGAGACTATAGGTAGGGTTCTTGAGTTTCTTGGTCTTCGCGAGATTGTCTGCCAGATCCGAGGTGCCCGACCATGAGCAGGTGTGCGATCACTCTACATGGGTGTGTCGGATCGTGTGCAATGCGGGAATGCTCCCGGCCGCTCGTTAGCAAGAAGGTTCAGAGCTCAAAGCGATGGTTTTAATCCTGTGCTCTGGGTATGGATCCCGAACCCCAAAGCGTAAAACAACGAACCTGCTAGCCTGACCCCTAAACCCTAAGCCCTAAAACTCTGTCCAAAACCGATTCTGGCATGGCGCCAGGGAGCAGGCACCTGGTCACTAGAACCTCGCCAGACCCATACCTCCGTGCGTGTTCAGCATGTACCTATAGTCTCCATTGTAGTTCCTTTTTTTGGTTTAGCCAATTATGTATTAAGGATTTTATAAGGTATCCCCAAAGAGGAACTACAATGGAGACTATAGGTAGGGTGTCTGTTTCAATGACGTCGAGGTGAGTACCAACACACCGCTGCATTAGATGTCAACAGCTTCAGTGGGCACAACATAAGCCTACACCCTACACCCTAAACCCTAAACTCCTAAACAAGCAGTTCAGTAAGGTTTTCAAGTCACCTTTCATCTCCGGCCTCCCCAGGGCATGAAGGCGAGCAAGTGTGTGTCGAAGCACTGCGCCAGCCACAACCGACGGAACCAGCACATCGTCCAAAAGATGATCGCTGCGAGCAGCAACTATTGCGACTCGGCGGAGCTGTTACGTCAGTGCAGCTTAGGGTGGGGATGTCAAACGCACAACCCGTTGGTGTTGTCGGACTCGAATATCTGGGAATACGAACCAGGAAAGACCAATTCGGGGTGTCCAGCTTCTTTGCTTTCAATTTTTAATTTGTTCGTACACACTTTTGCACAGGCTTGTCCGGATGCTCGCAGGCGCTTATTGCAGCCGTAGGGGTCTGAAAGGACAGAAACGGTCGTATGATAGCCCACAGCACTGCCCCAAAAGGACTTGACATTACGGGGTGGTTCACCGCCAAGCAAGCTTTCCCTTGCGGCTCCTGTCCCTGTTGTGTAGCCTCCGGTTCTCCCTGGTCCGCAACAACAGATAAGGAAAGGGTTCTCCCCGGTACAGGAGCACTGGCGGTCATAAGGGTCATTACATTGACACACGTGGCCTCTCTCCTTCTCCCATTCTGTGGTTTGGGTGGCGGGTTCTGTTCCGGTGCGAGCCGAGTCCGCAACCAGCCCCGACAAAGACAAAGACAAAGACGATCATGAACATGACAATACTACTGACAATCCCTCACCCCCCAGGTACCTACTATATAGGGTACTAGAGCCCCTAGGGCCCTATCTAGTAGGTACCTGGGGGGTTAGACAATATTCAGCAAATCCCTGGAGCCAGACCTAGTTTTCAACTCCAACCGGTGAGTCGACCCACCGACAATTTCAGGTAACCATGGAACATAACACAACGTGGCGGATAATCGGAGATGACAGCACAGACCCCAGACAAACTCCCAGCTAGCCCAGTCTGTCAGACACACTGTCGGTGGGAAGCTGAATGGCAACTACGACACGCGCAGCGTGTCACGGACCGTGTGACGAGACAGGCGCGACTACAGCTTCTGCGGGGCTGCATGTTGGCAGAGACAGCTTTTCCCCTCAGCTTGGAGCGAAGGTCAGTCTGCCTACCCCAAGCCAACCGCACGGCACAGGAGATGGGAGACCAAGAAGCCGAGAGACCAAGAACCTAAGCAACACAGAGACCGTGCTACGTGGACAGAAACGGCACGTTTGAAGCAAACCTTCTGCTGAGGTGATATAGGGCCGTGTAGTATATTCCACATATGTAGGGATCCAAAAAACACCAGAAAGGGAACGTTAGTGTTGGGGTGTGATTCATTCACGTGCCGCCGGCTTGAGCTGGTAGAGTGCTTGGACGAAGCACCTCCAGGTAGCCGCTTCCGAAAGGTGAGCCGCAGCTTTGGGCTGCAGCATACTGTTCTCTTGTTGTCCTCTTAGACTATCTTAGATCTTAGTTCATGAATGTTTGTCAGCCCTACTCAGGCAGCAGGGACATCTGCTTCCTCCAGGACGGGGCCGACACTTGTGAGCGAACAAGCGGTATGATTGTTCTTGCATGAGGGTGTGATTGTTGTTTTCTTATTTAGAATTGGTCGTATGATTGTTTCCTATTGTTATTACTATTTTGCTTATTGCTGCCTTCGGGATAATCGTTATGACTAGGACCATCTACATCTATACGCACTTACATGGTTATTCAGAACCTATGTATGTATCCGTATATTGGCGGCATACAGGTCGCCAAAGCCTTCGTCTAAGCACTCAGGCCCTCAAAATATGTCAGGGGGTTGCTTCCATCAGACTTTAAGCTTCTGCCTGGGCGACACCCAATGGAACGACCATGTGAACCTGGCGTCCGGCAGAACTTAACATGTCTGGCAGGTTTATAGGCGATGATGTCCGGATCAAGCCAGAACTTGTGTGGATGGGCTCTTTCGTGCAATGTCTAGTGATGTACCCTCGGCAAGTCGCCTATTCCCAACTATCCCTTTATACACCTCGATCATGGCAATGGTTCCGCTAAGTTGCGGCGGCCATGGTGATGTCAAAACGTCAAGCATCCAGCTGGGGCTGCGAGTATCAAGACGAGGGATGCGTTCGGAATCAGGTCAATCGTGAGGCAGTGTCCAGCACGAGCTCGCAATATCAGTGCAACCAGCAAGAACGAACTGCAGCTAGGATGAAAGGAAGTTCGGTACAGGCAATTGTACCAGCAGCATTAATTCTCGAGGGAACCTTCCCTCGAGAGCATTGCACTCAGCCTCTTCCTTGCGCAATGCTAGTTTTGCAGAGCCGACCTCACCCGGACTTCCTCGTACCGATGTTGCATGCGGCAAAGAGCTCTGTTGCGTCCGCCTTGAAAGCCCTAAGCCGTACTATAAAATCTAGACCCCTACACCCTACACCCCGAATACTTTAGGGTTTTGTTCAGGCGATTGCACGATTCCAGAAGCAAAAGGTCGAACTTGAGGGTTGCGGGTGTAGTTCTTGAGCCCAGGAATTGGCCGAAGCTCAATAGCTGCTTGTAATCTCCAGCGCCAACACGTAGACATTGCAAGCCTGTGATCCTACAGGCCTAAGTTCGAAAGCTTCAGAATCATCGGATACCCTCAACATAGCTGGCTTCTGTTATGGTGAGAGCGTGGCTACAAGAGGTTACTGTAGGAACTTGATTAAGAAACCCTGGCCCCTATGACCCCAATAATATATGAGGGTTCAAGTTAAATTAAGAACCCTAATCAAGACTCAGGGTTTCTTAATCAATTTTCTATATTTCTTTACTACTATTGAGGATAATCATTAAATCCTGCATTACCATTGTAAGGACCCCAAAGTATGCGGGAATGATGGTACTGGTATACTCCTTATTATGGGTAATGCAGGGTTATCATCAACCCTAAACCCTAAACCCTAAACTTGAGCCCCAAAATGGCCCCATGGGCCTCGAGAGCAGAAGACCCCTGATGCCCCACACCCGGAACCTGCTAAGAAAGGCTGCCTTCGTAATTACCTGAGCTTTTTTGTTAGGGGGGGGGGAGGGAGGGGGGGTCCTGACTATAGTTATAGTATAATGTATTTCCCACAACTTTATGAATATTCTTCTTGGTCGCATTCTTATAATTATTGTTATTCAGGCCCCTACGTTACCCTAACCCCAAAGAAACCCTCATAGGAACCTCATCGGAACCCATCTAGTACCTGTTGAAGGGAGCCTTTAAAGGAGACCGTACAGTCCTAAACCCTAAACCCTAAACCCGAATCCAGGAGTCGGAGGCAACTGGTTTGCTGCAGAAGCCGCGGTCAGGCCATTCAGTCTGGGTTCGGGGCTAATATAGGGGCCTCAATAAGTATAATAATCACAAGGAATCCCCCTCCCCCCCCAAAAAAAATGGTAGTTATTTAGGCCCCCATATTACCGAATGTTTCAAGGTTTGTGGACTCATGTTCTTGGGCTCCTGGAGCTTGGATCCCAAAATCCTGCACCTGTGCAACTTCAAAGAGGTTCTGGCGAGTTGCTCTAGGCCGGGCCCGCAACCCAAGGATTAGCTGCTGCATGGCTCACAACGGATCTAGGGCAGCTTCGCAGGCAATGCCCAGCTGATGGCCACTCAGGCACGGTGGGGGTAGAACCGGGTTCCTCGACGCAGCAGCTGCCTTGCTTGGTCAAAGGTTTGTGTGATGTATGTATTAATGTTTCAATGTATTTATGTGTTTTTGCATTAGTGCATTATTGCATTGTGTGGTATTGTATGGTTTTTGTGGTATGCAATGCAATGTAAGGTAATGTCGCGTAATGCAATGTATGCACGTACATGTATACATGCACCTGCGTGTGTGTATGAACTACCTGGTGTGTCGGGTCGTTTGCAAATTGTACAGGCATCCACTGGCCAACATAAGAGTTCACAGCATATCAAGCTTCGGTTTTCAAGATCCCAGCAGAGTGCTGGGGAAGACCAGAACTTGGATGTTTGGGTTTTCGAGGGTTTTTGGGGCAGAAGGATTGACAATTTATAGGGCTCAAGCGAGGGGTGGCGGAGTGCCGGCCTTTAAAAATCAGACGAGTCGGTGCTCAACATGGTGGCAAATTGCAGTATGAGTACTGCCGTGAACTCGACGGATGCGTTCTTCGATTTAGTGAAGTGATCATCTTTTGCGATGCCATAGCACTCAGGGTAGCCCCCTGGTTCCCTAAACCCTAAACCTAAACCCTAAACCTTAAACCTTAAACCCTAAACAGGCATTTCAGCCGGAGGCTGCAGCAACCCACGCTGACATGAATCGGTTCGAAGCGAGGTCAATGCCTCCAAGGGTTGCCTCAGCGAAGAAGATGTGTGCGATGGATTCTGCAATGCTGCGCAGCTGGATGAATGGGGCTTGCTTTGAACTTGCAGCATGACATTCCGAATAGCGGTTGAAGGAACTGCGGGCTTCTTGCACAAACAACCTTCAGTTTTTCATTGCATACACGGGACTAAACATGAAAGCCCATCGTTTGAATCCATGTCCAGCAAGCCGAGGCCTTGATGGGCAAAGAAGACGGCCACAAACCTGTGGACGCGCAATGCAAGGAGAAGTGCATGGTGACATGTCCGATTTGGAGCAACCTAGTCCCCCAACCACTATAAAGCCTAGACCCCTCAAGACCCCGGAACCTTGTCTTGGGCTCAGCACTCATTGCAACAAGGGATGATCTACGAATCTATGCACGTTTGAGTCTGTGTCAGAGATCTTGCCGTTGCCTTCGTGACGTCTTCTCCGGAAAAGGTTTGATGTTGTGTTGCAACATTCTACGCGACTGTGAAAACATAGTCATGCTACCTCGAGACGGTACTACAAATGAGGGTCTATTATAGGTCTAAGCTTTGTTTGCTAGAGATTCCCTGCGGCTCCAAATAGCCCAAAGTAGGTACTACTTACAGACTTTAGACCCCACAGTAGGTACTATTTGTATACTTGGAGCCCTAGGGATTCTGCCAGCATCTTGGAACTGATCTTTACATGTTGGCCTTACTCACATCTGTCCGGGATGCAAAGCAGGCCTTGACCTGCTAAAAACCCAACTTGTCTGTGGTGTTCCTTTAAATTCAGTATTAAGGCTTGTAGTAAGAACCTACAAAGCAGCACGCTATGGTAGTAGAAACAGGTTCTGAGATGTCTCGTGATCGCTCAGGCCTGCGCGAATGACATTGCGGATGCCTTGGATCACTTCTGCGATTCGTGCGAGCCAGCCCCTCGACAGAGAGGACCAACAACGCGAATCACTTGACGGTGCCGGCCATACTAACCGACACTTCATGTGCAGATAGATAGAACCAGACTGCACATGGGAAGCATCAAACGGGCTCGTGCATGCTGTTAACTGTCGGTTGTCGTGACACTGGGCTGTGTCCTGCACCTTAGCATTTTGCTTCGAGGCTGGCTACCCGACTGAGACCACCAGTACCACGGAGGAGGAGTACCAGACAACCACCTCCACCACCTCCACCTCCACCTCCACGACTACCACCAGCACTACTACAACTACCACTACTACCACGACGACCACCACCACCACCACCACCACCACTACCACCACCGAGAAGTACTACCCGACCACCACTGAGGATGATGATGACGACATGACCACCACCGAGCCTCAGACGACCACCCTTTATCCTTCTCCTCCTCCCGGCTACCCAATGCCCAAGGACGATGATGATGACGCGGATGACCCGAAAGACGACAAGGATGGGAGCCGTCGCCGCCGTCGCCGCCGAAAGGGTGGTGATGATGATGACGGTGGACGCCGACGCAAGGGAGGCAAGGACGACGACGGCAGCCGTCGCCGCAAGGGTGGTGATGATGATGATGGTGGACGCCGCCGCAAGGGAGGCAAGGACGACGACGGCAGCCGTCGCCGCAAGGGTGGAGATGATGATGATGGTGGACGCCGCCGCAAGGGAGGCAAGGACGACGACGGCAGCCGTCGCCGCAAGGGCGGAGATGATGATGATGGTGGTCGTCGCCGCAAGGGTGGAGATGATGATGATGGCGGACGCCGCCGCAAGGGAGGCAAGGACGACGACGGCAGCCGTCGCCGTAAGGGTGGTGATGATGATGACGGTGGACGCCGCCGCAAGGGAGGCAAGGACGACGACGGCAGCCGTCGCCGCAAGGGCGGAGATGATGATGATGGTGGTCGTCGCCGCAAGGGTGGAGATGATGATGATGATGGCGGACGCCGTCGCAAGGGAGGCAAGGACGACGACGGCAGCCGTCGCCGTAAGGGTGGTGATGATGATGATGATGGTGGTCGCCGCCGCAAGGGTGGAGATGATGATGATGATGGCGGACGCCGCCGCAAGGGAGGCAAGGACGACGACGGCAGCCGTCGCCGTAAGGACGATGATGGCAGCCGCCGCCGCAAGGCTGACTACCAGCCCATTTACTTCCAGCAGGAGTGAGAGGATTAGGAAGTGGGTTTTAAGGAGCATGCAGCGATGTGTTCATTTTTTTGGCAAGCCGAGGCCAGCGCTTTGTGCTTCAGAAGAAAGGATGACCCTCTACAAATTTCGACTGTTCACAGCATTTGGGGCGTCCGGCCTGTCAGCCAGTTCTGAGAGATATCCTGCCTATAGTCAACCTTGTAGTTCCTCTTTATTGGTTAAACCAACTATGCCTTTAGGACCTGAAGAAGTAGCCCCCGAAAGGAAACTACAATGGAGACTGTCGGTAGATACTCTCTCCAGTGGTCCTGCTCTCAGCTGAGTGCTTGTAAGGCAAGGATCCGCATGTCCCGTTGCACGATGGCTCTTAAGGTTGTGTAGACGAAGATTCGTGGCCTGGAACTACTCCAGCCACCACGGCTCTTGCACTTCTGAGCATCAAGGAAAAAGTACGGCGAGGGATGGCACCGTGAGATGGCTCCTAAAGGAACCAGTATGAAATAAAGTTTCAGTTTGTTTCCCCTTAATTACTTGAAAGCCCAGTTGTCGATTCTGCAAATGCTCGTGGCTCATGCTGGGCTAGTGCTCAGCTTTGCCACTCCACACCTGCTCCAAAAATCCAACTCACAACCCACCCCCATGGGGGTTCTCATTCCTAAACCCATGCGCACTTCCGCGTCTGAGTCGTTCGGCAAGCCCTTGCAAAATCATAGTTCCGGAGCCAATTATCCGCAAGCTCTTGATGTCGAGACTGAGGAAGCAAAACCGTGGCCACGTGCTGCCTCCACCTCCACCCCCGATACCGCCGATGCAGCTTCTTGGCCGGCTTCTAGAATTCGCTGTGAGTACCGCCCTTAACCTCAACCCTGCAGCTTGGGGCAAGTCCCTGTGGCAATTCGAGGGTTTGAGGTCCATGGCGTCGCACTCGGGAGCATCGTTGAGAGCCCCCGTCCGAAGTCTGTGGCAGCTGCAAGAAGCAATGAAAACTTCTGCGTGCTTAAGTTCATTTCTGCCCGTCTATATCTCGCACACCGGAGTTGAGCAGCAGGATATCGATAGGCCCCATGGTAGTTGCTTCTTGTGGCTTATATTTAGGATCCTATTAGGTAATCCCAAAAAGGGACTACTATGGGGCCTATGGGTAGAGCCGACACGTCCAACCTGAGGTTTCTATGAGCTGATGATGCATCTGCGTTCCCTCCACAGGGCTTACTTGGAGCCCTGTTCACCTACCACAATCTAGGTAGTATTATTAGGGGTACCCCTTAAAGGGTACCCCTTCTGAACCCTACTTTTGGCTCTCTTAAAAGGGACCTTATTGAGAGGGTCTATATCCCCAAGGGTCCCCGTAATCCTATCTCCCACAATCTAAGCCTGCCATCGACTCCAAGCGTGCCTTTGGGGGTGCTTATACCGGATTCTTGTCTTCAGAGGGTTTAGGTTTATGTTGACCTTTAATCTAAATATTCAAGGTTCCCTCATAGATGCTCCAAAGGTTGAGGAGAGTAACAGAGAGGTCGGAAGAGCTGCTGAATATAGGTCATTATACTTAGAACTACACTATGATCTATATACCCCAAGCTCTTCTTCTAAAGATTCAGGCCCCTACAGTAGGTCTTCGGGTTCCCAGCTGTGCAGTATATCCCACAAAACTGCTGCAGCAAGGCTTTCGGACTTCTTTCTATTGTAAGTCGATCTTTCATGCATCTTAGGGTCGAAGTTTTAGGGTTTAGGGTTTAGGGCCATGTAGCCTCAGCTCATTCTTCGGAAGGATTATTTTAGGGTCGTTGAGAGACGTGCCATGGTTCTGCAGGTTTCTCGGTCAAGGGTTTAGGTTTGGGGCTCCGTGTTAGGGCGTAGCGTTGTGGCATTTTTGGCTTTGCAGTCTACCCCGAAACATCCCGAAACTGTCGTTTACCTATAGTCTCCATTGTAGTTCCTTTTGGGGGATACCTTATAAAATCCCTACTACATAACTGGTTAAACCAAAAAAAGGAACTACAATGGAGACTATAGGTAGTTGAGGAGCTAGGACTTACGGCCATGAGCTTTTAAAACTGCAGGGTCCTCAAACCCAGGCTTTATCACCCGAATGCAAACCTAAGCCTTACTGTGCGAAGCCCAGAAGCCCAAGCCCTAGTAAGGGGAGTCGGAAGAACTAGTAACAGTCTTCCTTCATAGTCCGATAATCCCCGAACTTGGCGAGGACGGGATTGTTCAGGCCTTTAGTTGTCATATGGGGGCCTAAATAATTACCTATCATATTTTGGGGGGTCCTTAGTCTAATTATAGCAAAATGGGCCCCCCAAAACCCTATTCTAATTATTACTGTAGTGAGCGGGGGGGCTT